CGATCAGCTGCTTGCTGTCGCCAGTTGATTGTACTAAGCGCCCCCAAATCATTGGTCAACTAACCCCTTCACTGAAGATGTGGACGTCCTCTACCGCGTTTTCCACCTACAGGTACCGAATCTCACACTTTTTTGATCGGAACACTTTCCTTTATTTCCATAATTCAACAATTATAATTTAATATGATTTAATATTACGAGAAAATGTAGCTTTTTTGTCTATTTGAATATCTTCATTAATTATGTTCATTTTTTAATATTTGTTTTATTAAAAAGTTTAATGCATATTGTTCACTTCAATAGAAGATACTAACTTCGATATTCTTAATTCTTAGTATACCACTATTATTTTTCTCATTGACTCTGTTTGGGCCACATACTTGGTTTGATAATAAAATATGTTCCATATATCTAAAGCTTTAACTACATTTTATTTCTATAATCATTGGTTTCCCAACAAGAATTTTTCAATTTTTATTCACTGTTTTAATTAATTTTGTTAAAATTAATCTCAGCGGGATAGCTTAATATTCTTTTTTTTCCAATAAGCAAGATACAAATTGAAATTGCAAAATGTAACTGTAACTGCAACTGATTTTAAACTCTTTTTTTTTAGAAATCAATTTGTGGTCACAGAGCTGCACCCTTTTCACTCCCAATAATAAATAAAATTTTTTAACAACCATCGACAATCCAATATGCAAACGATTCCTTGTTAAAATTTCAGAAACGCAGATACTAGTTTACATGTGTGATAAATGTTGGGGTCAATTACATGTTGGCATTTGACTAAAATTTCCATGGCTATTCAGATGACTTCGATTTCAAATCAAATTCAATTCTAACACCTAAGAGTTAGGATATAAATAAATTTTTTAACTTCAAATATTATTAAAATTTCAGTTGAGTTCAGAAAACATTTATAAATAATTTAAAAAATTCTGTCATGGGCTATTGTCAAATTATTGTACCTCTAGCTGCTTCAAAAAAATAGTAATAAAAAATTCTATGTTAAATGAAAAATATTTGACCACTTTAGGATATGCAAAGGTGTATCCAGTTGCTGAAATTCAAAAATAAATTAGAAAAAAAGGCACCTATTCAACTTTACCAGCAGGTCCAGCAGCTCCGGCAGCAACAGCAGAAAAACATTGACAAACTGCACAATTTATTACCTGAAATAGATTCGCCACCATGGAACAGTTTTCATTTGATGCATCAGGCAGAAATTGCTGTGGGCATTGGAACGTTGCGCATTGTGTGGGCTATAACTCCAAATTGGTAGTTTTGTCCATTTTACTGGTGACAAATTCGTTCGCCATAGGCTAATTACTAGCAATAAAGTCCGCATTCGCTGGCTTCCAGATCGACCAATTTGCATACATTTTGTCATATCAACCAATAATTTGAATTTTATTAAATTTAAATTGGATAAAAAGAGTTCAGAGAATAAGTTAAGTGATTTCATTTAAAAATTAATAAAAAATACGCATATAAATATAAAGTTGATAAAGTGTTTTTCAAAGTCATAAATTTGTCAAGCATTGTCAAAATCTTCTGAGAGGATTTCCATGAAACGAACTGATGAATGCCGGATGCAGTGCAACCATTCATCAATTTTTAATACAGTAATAATTATTTTGTTGAAAAAAATATATACGTTATATACTATAGCGTTTAATAAATCAATCTTAAAAGACTAGAACTTAATCTAGTAATTGATCTACACAAATAACTGGCTTAAAAAGAAAGTTATGAGTCAGTTATTCCACTCAAGGATATCAAGGATATCAAGGATATCTGTTAAAATAATAACTCATTTATAAATATATTTAATAATTTATAGCTTAACAATAAAAAATTTCTCATTCTTTTAATTAAATGAAATATGTAATAATCAATATTTAAGAAGAAGGTAAATAATCAACTTAATAAATTCCAAAATTTTCTAATAGAAATCTGTTATTAAATTAAGTCAAACATCAGTCAAAAATCAAAAAATTTAGAAGAAAATTTCTTAATTTCATTAAAAATTTTTAAATATAAATAAAAACAGTCCATATTAAGTGAAAATTAGATTGATTGAAATTTTCTAAAATATTTTCCTAATTCCAATGAATAATTTCACTGCTAGAAATTAGAGTTGTGATCCCATCCTGTACATATAATATACTGCAATAACACTATAAACATTTTTTTTTATTGTAATTCACTTTCTGACACAATCCTGCCTGAATGCAGCATCAAAGTTTGATTATGACTTACATATAACTTATCTCATTTAATAATTCTAAACTTCATAATGGTTCGCCTATTATACATGAAAGACTTCTGTACTACCAACTTCATTAATCTAATGGAAAAGTTTTGGTTTATAACACCGAGAAACTAATTACAATGAGATAAAGAAAAAAATAATGTTATTATTTTTGTCGGAAGTGATATCTCTTACGACGAAAAAAATTCAAATATTGCCTAAGACCACTGATGATAAATATTTGGCAATATTGGAAACAGCGTTAAATGATCAGCCAAACTTCAATAAATCAACTAAAATTTTTGTTGTTGTCGTTTCATTTCTATTCGAACCCTTCTTCAATCACTTCAATCCCACACAATTTTTTATGAACATCAGTTTTTACTTTGTAAAACGAACTACTGACAGATCAATTGCTTTAAGACTCTATGTAGCCATGCAGCTGTCTACATTCTATAGATATCACGATGTGAAGAAAAATCTGGTAGTTTGTTGGTTAATTGGATTTCATGCAATCTCTTATGGTCCTTGGAAATCCAATCTCTTATACCAACTGTCTCGAAGAGTCAAGCTGTCATTAAATCACTGATAGACACTTCAGCCACATCAATCATAACTCAAAAGTTTTGTGCTTCCCTCAATGATCTAGGTAGGTGCGTTAAGGCTCAACTCATTTGGGTTCCTGGTCACAGGCATATCTAGGGTAATTGCTCTGCGCATGAGCTTGCCAAAGCAGGTGCTCTTCTTCCTGACATTCACTTCTCAGACATTGGCATTCCACTTGCAACAGCTAAACTGGGAAATCAATAAAAAGATCTAAGCATAGCCAACCAACACTAGGCTGATAGATCCGGCTGTCAAGACTCTAAGTTGACTTGGTCTAATTTGGACAAAAAAATTCAACAATTAGCTACTTCAACTAAAGCGGAACCAACTCAGCACTACGGTATCGGTGCTGCTGGATCACACTTCATCCTTTCCTGAAAATTCATTGACTCTATTTCTTGTTTAGCCTTTTATAAATTTCTAACTGAATGTGATGCTATTCATATTTTATTAATTAAACCATATATAATAAATAATAAAATATCTTAAGTATAATAAAAATATTTTCGAAGAACCAAAAAAATATTTTGAAAGAAATTAAATGCAGAGAGCTTTCGCATTTCCCTTCGAAGAATTTGAGTTTCTATTAACGCACTTTTTAACAGGGTGGCATGTACAGGCATCGCGTGTACGATTCGCAATCCAAGTGTTAAAGTTATTCACACGAGTGTATACACCGGGTGTGTTGGGTTTAGCACAACCTTCGCCCCATGAAGTTATACCAGCTAATTGATGTTCCTTGGTATTGTTAACAATAACATGCAAAGGCCCACCACTATCGCCTTGACAAGCATCCTTGCCACCTTCATCATAGCCAGCACAAAGCATATTATCAGTAATACTTGGACCATATTTGCTACCACGGCAAGCCTCCTGTGATATTATAGGCACCTCTACTTCCTACAATAAAAAAGCGTTACTTACTTATAAAAGTTACTTATATTATTATTAATGTTGTGATTACATTGTTACTTTGTACTACTTTTTATTAACATTGCTATTATATTAAATAATATAAAATCTAACCTGCAAAGTCTGCGACACACTGCCTCCTTGGCTTAGTGCCCCCCAACCAGTCGCTACAGCGTTTTCACCAGCAAAACTTTTATCTGGATCGGGCATACAAACTGGCCGGAGTAAATCATTTACTTCAACTGGTTCCGACATACGTATCAGAGCGATATCGCTATCAAAAGTACGTGTACTGTAGTCTGGATGTATAAATATTTTGTCAACATTCCGATCAATTTTATGTACGCTGCTGTTCCTGCGATTGTGCTCCAACAAACGTATTGTTATTAACGTTTTCCTAAAACCCTTTACACAATGTGCAGCAGTCAAGACATATTGATCATTAATTAATGTACCTCCACAATAAAAACTACCTCTGGAGAGCAACATCGCCATCCAAGGATATTGATGCGTTACCGTCTCCTGGCCACCAACAATGCGATGTATTTTATTTATGGTACCGCAATTGCATTCTGCGCATGATCGTTGTGGCGCGCTAGTAGTTGTTGTCGTAGTTGTAGTAGTGGTTGAACTTGGGTTAAAGATTTGATTGATCCATGTCACAATTATGTTATCACGTGTAGTATTTAAATTTGAATTTGAGCTATCGAAATCTATTGTTATTGAAGCGCTACTTTTTTCCAAATGGGACGACGTTGTCCAACTTAAAAAGCAGAAAAAAATTATTAAACACTTAAGTTGTAGAACCATTTTGCGGAAGATTTTGCGAAAATCTTTGCTACGTTAATCGAACTGAAGTGGTAGACTATCGAAGATCAACTGCAAAACTGAAAAATCTAACTAACGTAACGGAGCATGACAAGTTCATACTGGCAGCATTTCAAGTTTAAGTTCAATGCAAATCTTTTTGAAATGCAGCAAGCCTAACTGGAATCTTTAACGAGCTCTTATGCAAAACTAGTTGAAACACTGCCAATATCAAAAGAAAATTGTCCATTATGTGCTTTGACACATTGCACGATCTTCAAGTGCATCGAAAGCTGTCTTATTGACAAAGAAACGATTCAAGTTTTTCTATTAAATTGTAACCTACTTTATTGAATAAATTAAAATAAATAAATTATATATAAAAAAGTAATTATTTTAAAAAAAAATGGCATTTGTACTATTTTTTCTTGATTTTCTTCGTCTCCGAATGACAGAGACAGGCATTTTTTGTTAATGTTTTGATCCATGTACCATAACGATTAACCCTTGCATATACGCCTGGATAACCTGGTTTAGCACAACCTTCACCCCAAGACACAACGCCAGCCAGTTGATGTTCCCTTGTACCTGATGCTACTATGTGTAATGGTCCACCACTATCACCTTGGCAAGAATCCTTTTGACCAGCTTCAAAGCCAGCACATAGCATATTGTCTGTGATCCGTGTTGATCCATAACGACTTTTACGGCAATCGTCCTGAGACATTATTGGTACCATAACTTCCTATAATAAAAAATTGTTTATAGCAAGTTAACTCATACAGTTCTGGATGTTATAGTGCAAAAAAAAATTAATAAAACATATATCGTAATATATTACAAAGCTTTAAAACTACAAAAAAAATAAGTATTTGCTCCAAAATTTTATTATATCTGACTCTAAGATATTAAAAGAAATACATATATTATATATACGATATATCTATATAAATATCATATGCTGAATATTATAAAGTAGTTTGAGTCAATAATTTTAATTATTTAGAAACTATTAATCACTGTCTAAAAAAAATTTTTAATCAAATTATTAGACGAATGGGTATTTTATTTATTTTGGTTAACATTTCTCAAAGTTTTAGATATACTCGTCTAAATAATATTCAATACATTCTAAAGTCCACAAAACGTTTTAAAAATTAATATTTGTGATGGGTCCATCTATTGGCTATATAGTAATATTCCTCTTTTTGATCATTTTTTTGGACACCTCGATATACTTGGCAGGAGTTGGATATAGTATATTTTGTTTTCGTATTTATATAATAAAGTTCTATATAAAGTAAATTAATTTTATAGTATTTTTATTATTTCCATCTATTGGGAATAACATGCTTCGATAAGATCGGATCTTTGACTAATGCACTTGTAACATCTTTGGACTAATGTAAGTAATGTTATTACATTCATAAAGATTGATAAGCGATTAATCTCTTTCTAATGCACTGAACTATTATGAGATATTATAGGAAATTGCCAATGAAAATAATACACTTTATACAGTTAAAATTTGTTCTGAAGGCTTATTCTTACAATCTGACGAACTATCAATTTAGGCGTAAATGTTCACTTTCTATTTCTTTCTATTATGACTTTCTAAGTCATAAAATCTTGACGGTATATCAATCTACATTATGAATACACGTATTTGCCAATAGATTGTCTCTCTACAAATAACTATTTTTTAACATCATACTTATTTAAGATCTCTTATATCTTAAATATATATATGTATATCTCTTATATCAATAGAGATATTACTTACTTGTAAAGTATCTGACGTAGGACCACCAACTTTAAGTGCACCCCAACCAGCTACTATAGCAGTTTCACCTTTAAATGATTTGCCCGGTGTAGGCATACAAACTGGATGTAAAAGTTCTGTTATTTCTACTGGTGTATCGAGTTTAATAATAGCTATATCATTATCATATGTGCGAGAACTGTATTTAGGATGTGTTATAATTTCTGAAATATTGCGATCGATCTTCTGAAAATGTGACATCTTACGATCATGTTCAAGTAAACGTACACTGATGCGTTCCTTACGGAATCCATAGACACAATGTGAAGCACTGATAAGGTACTGATCATTAATTAAGGATGCAGCGCAATAAAAACGACCACCATACAATAACATAGCCATCCAAGGATATTGATGTATTTCGGTTTCTTGACCACCTACTATGCGTTTCTGTGTATTCGCAACACCACAAACACAATCAGTACAATTTCTTGGTGGATTTAGTACAACAGGTGCTGGTGTTGTTGTTGTTGTTGCAATTGTTGAACTGGGTGTAGCAGTAGTAGTTGTTGCACTTGTGGAACTAACCACTATTGGTGCAGCTGTGGTTGAAGTACTAATTGTAGTAGTACTGGGTTTCGCTGTAGTTGTTGTGGGCTCCGGTGATTTAGTTGAAGAGGGTGGATTTGGTGTAGTTGTGCTTGTTCCAAGTGTTGCTGCTGTTGTTGTAATTGTTGGAGTGGCATTTGCTGATGCAGGTCTTTGTGGTAAAAGAGATAGCACCCATTGTATAAATGTATTTTGAGTTTGTCTTAAGGTTGGCAATGTTTGAGAACTTAAGAAGTTATTATCAATTTCAAAACTACGTTCACTTTCCACATATTTTAAAGCAATCAGTAAGAACATTAAAAACAATAATTTCCGTTTAAAACACATTTTTATCTATTATAAATGATTACTTTCCAATCTTTGCACTTCTTTTGCTTATTAATTAATTTAATAATAAAACTTCATTAATCGATTGCCTTTCTCCACAGTCCGACACTTACTAGAGTCAACTTATGTTTCAATTCTTCGCCAAAGCCTCAATTTTACAAATCGCCTTGAACACTTTTTACCTCATAACTCTCACTCACACCTCTCCACTTGCTCATCACTTTTGTTTTTATTTTTATTTTTGCTTGCTAAACGTTTATGCTAATTTGCATACGCTTGTTAACTGGCCGCGGTGCTCTAGCGTGGGCGCCCGCAAACAGCTGGAACCACTTTTACAGACCTCGTCTTGGTTTCGCAGTTGCTACTGTTCACGTTTAGAGTGGCGAAAGTTTCTCGCTTCTTCAATTAATAAATTTTGCCAGTTCATGTGAATTCATACGTCTACGGCGTATTCGCCACAAATTTCGATCACTAAATCGTTACGATTTATTGGTCACACCATTTACGTGAATTGCTTTCTTAAGTGGTTCATGATAGACTGCCGGTTGGCTATTTTTTTTATAAACTGTGTCTATCGAAACCACAGCTATGATTAAATAATTAATTTCCCTATTTCAGTTTTGTTTAGAATTCAAATTTGTAGTTATTACGAAATTATTTAATACAAAAAAAAATAATTTAATTTCGGTTTTTATGCTTTTGAATATGTAAAAGTAAAAGGGCTTTTATTTAAATATTTTTTAGATTTGTTTATATTATGAACTTAAAAAAATTTATTATACATATGTAATACTTGACAAAAAGTGAGGAACTTTTACTATTAATTATATACTATACAAAATGGATCTATTGATATACAACCCACTTTATACTATTATAACTATCAAACTGGTACCACCTCTGTAGTTGTATATTCGCTTCTAGGAAGGTACTTTGTCTAAGTTAGAATTTAAATGTAATACTCTATATTTAATGGAACTATATTTAACTGAAAAACCACAAGTCATTATTTTTAGAGCCTAATAACAGTGTTAGAGTAAAGTAACCAAACAAAAAAATCGTTCGAGTCTCGAACCACAGCTTATTTTAAAGACTAGCAGTACTTTATGAAAATTTAAATATAATACTTGATACGATGCCGCTACATTTTCGTACAAAAATGAAATTTTTAATAATAGATCCATGAAATGGATTTAATAATAGAACATTAATAGGTCCCTCAAATAACTTAATGTAAATAAATGTTTCGTTTCTCGAAGCACTGCACATCATGAAGACTGACTGCATATTGAGAGAATTCAGAGGTAATACTTAATCTTAATGCGCGTCATATAAGCAAAAAATCAACAACTTATTAAAAGTCAGTACAACAATGAAAGATATATGGTTATTTGTTTTAACATACTGAAAACAATGATAAGACAAATAGTCAAAAAATAACTTATTTGAACCCAAATAAACTTCAAAAAGATTAAAATTACGTTGACAAATTGTGTTCAATATAGCAAAGAAAGTGTACCGCTATCACAATTTTTGTTAGTTACCATATATTGTCTTCTTTGATTATATAGAATGATCGATTTTATTAAACAGAGAGAGCATAAGTAAATTTTAATATTGGAATGGACACCAAGAGTCGGGAATCCCTATCTGTTTTGGTTAGATTAGTCATAATAATCGATGGCAGCCCTCCTCTGATGCCTTAGATTGCTGCGTCAAGATAAATACGAATGTCTATTCTGATAAAATTTTTTAAATTAATTTGATGTTTTGGGCAACCACATTTTTTAATGAGACTGACAGAATGTTTCAAGATGGGAGTTTCTTCCCATATCACGCCTACCAACAGCAGCTGAAATCACACATTGCATATTTTATATCTGTAGAAAAGTTTGATGTGAATCTTCTTGATGTGGACCTTCTTAGAGAACGTCGTCATAATCCCGTAAACCTTAGATCTACCTAAGTCAGTGGCAGATTTCACTCCTCACAAAACTCCCATCGTCGGATACAAATAAATCCTCTTCGAACCATCGTTAGCTTTTCCCCAGGAATCCATTAGGGGCATAAAGCTCCAGTGCCTATTAGTTTCTGTTTGTAATGTAGTGAAGTAACGCTACTGGTCAGTTATGTTAGTTGTTATACTATGCTTATGAACTCTATTTATTGAACTTTAATTATATTCTCACTTTTGCTTCCTATATCTGACATTATTATTCGCTACTATAACAAATGTATAAAATAACATTCATCACTATAGGAGTTTCTCTTTAATTGTGTTATTTGTTACCTCTCCTCTTCAAATCGTAAGCACTTCTAGGAGTAAATTTCGAACGTTCATCATTTTATTTTGACAGTGGCGGCAACCACGACGGATCCCGTATTTAAAGTGATACAATAGAGCCACTTAATGTCAACATATTCATGCTTAATTTAAGGTATTGAATTTATATTTCTATATTTGATTATCGGTGTGATTTCGACTCTGTGTTTTTGTGAATCAGAACTAATTCACATACGAAATTAGATAAAGATTCAATAGTGTGTAATGTCTGACCTTCAAACATAACGATTTGTATGGAGCATATTTAGGAAGGAGCTCTCTTTTTTTTAAAAATTTAAAAATATAATCAGAACGAATACAAAAATTTATATTTATTTAACTATTTTACGATTGATATTTTTCTTCTTAGAAAAATAGATTAAATGACATTCAGCAATAAGCATTCAAATAGCTTTGAAACTCCTTTAAAAAGACGATTTAAACTCTTGAATGCTCAGTAATGGACATGGATGATTATAATAATAGTTACACTAATTTTTAACGAGTTCCACTTGATTCATTCAACCAAGAGTAACAAGAAATCTTCAATGTAGCACAAGAATGCTTCCGCTATAATCGACAATTCATGTAACAAAATTGCAGCACATTAAAGTGGATAAATTATTAGTATAGAATATATTCACTATATTCGTATGTTAAGTTGTTCCATTATGAAATAGCTTAAGTATTGGTTATATGATTTTCCATTATCATTATTACATAAGTTAATGAATATATCTGTGAGCATGTATTCTCGAATCGTTTGTACTTCAAATTATTTAAGCATCATTAAACAATGTTAACTTTGCAGGCATTCTCGTATCTAACTGCCAACTTCTTATCATAGTTCATCGTGTGGCTTACATACGTGAATGCATGAACGAACTGGTAAGTGCTTTCGAGAGACTGGAGGACAAGTTGTTTCAACCGAACCAGAGTACATGCCGAGGCTGACCACATAACCTACTTAACACATTTGCTTATGTATTATTGCCATAGTTTTAACGAGCATAAACTGTGTTACTGATTTATTATCGTCAACGTTAAATTCTGTTTGTGGTCAACTACTGTATAGATGGGATATTTTATGGGTGTTGTTAATTAAATTAACTTCTTGACTAAAACTTAACTCGACATGGTAGAAAGAAAATTCTTAAAAATAGTACAATTCATACTTTCATTTGCATTTTAACATATTTTCTACTCAAACACTTGTAAGTCCATTGGACTCTTCTTTTAGTTGATTCTGTTAAATTATTAATTAAAGAGAATATTTAAAAAAGTCTTAAAACGGTAATTGAAAAGAAATTTTTCATAATATAACAGATTATCATGTTAGTTCAAGTGGAGGGAATTCTCCTCAATTAACTAAGAAACCGATTTAATTCCACAATTCCTCGTAATAATGTGTAGAAGAATTTTCAAGTTAGAACCAGCCAGAAGTATATATAAATACAAGCCAATGCTAATGCGGAGTGTGTTAAAGAAGGGAGAATCCAAAACCTAAAGCCTGATTCTGGACGAGTCTGGGCATAGACACAACAGGTGTTCTGATGTGTTTTATTCGAATACCGGTAGACATGAGCTACAGGAGATACTTCAGGGTACACTGAGCTTAGTTTCATGTTGGCCTATGACCCAGTGCTGTTGACACATATACCAGTCTACATAGTTCTGATTTGCTTCTATGTACCAAGTCCGAGGTTCTGTATTTAGAATAGGTTTGCCATGTAGTTCTTAACCTGGCTGCAGAGGAAGTATGAGCCCACTCCCAAGCTACCTGTAGGTGGCAGAAACAAGAATTGGATTAAAAATTTTTATGGAATATATATAGGATATGATAATAATGTCTTATTTCATCAAACTCTTTATATTTTGAAATATATGCATGCTATGAAAAGAAATAATTCTCACTTGCTATTACTTATAAATTATTATAATCAGCTGTTAAACATTTAAAGTTTTATAGTTTTTTTTTAATTTCAGCCGTTTAAGAGTTTCAACACCGTTCACACAGATGGTTTTTCTTGAAAGTTAATTATTAACTATTTCACTTTGAATTGTTTACTAGTAGAGAAGCAGCCTATTCTTCATCTTCATGTACTCATATAAACCTCCTCACAAAATTAGAATTAGTGATGTATAGAGTTCAGTCAGTTACTTAAGCCAATTATAATGCTAAAATGTCCTATGCTGAGAATTACCCAATATCAGACGGGTGTGATATCTCCTGGCACTTTTAATAGATATTTCTTTAATAAAATGATATTCTCCTAGTCCAGTTTGAAATCGGGCAGCTACAAATAATCTGACTAGAAGTCTCATCTGCCTTCAAGCTAAGTCTTGATTCTATTTGTTCAGACACATCCAATGGTAACGCAAGCCATGGTACTTGCAAACTTATTCGCAGCTAAAAAAGTGAGAGACCAGTTAAAATCACGTATTTAGAGACAAGTCGAGAGATGTACTGTTCGACCGATATCAATAAATTTACTCGCTTTTCTCTGGTGTTCAATAGCTTTTTAGGTCACCGGTGACTTGTGTATCAGTTTTTAGAAATATTGGCCTGCGTGTACTATCTTATGTTCACAATGCTGTAAATGGAGAAACAAAATATTACTAAATTAAATTTTTTAGCTTCAAACTC